GACATTGACCTATTTTTCCTCACTCTGCCTCCCCGAGCCACACGCTAATAGAACCTTTTCTTCTTTTTAAAGCTTGTTTTTGCACTATTTCTGCTCTGCTAAACTCACACAGTGCAGAATGGCAGGAAGAGCAGTCCATGCTACAAGTCAGACTCAGTTGTGAGGACACGACACGAGGTCAGCAGCATCACTGACTCGGGTCTTCTGGCGGTGAAGTCTTGTCCTGCACCCATCTTCCATATCTGCTGGATTGTTGTTGCACAGTTAGATGTCCGTTGTGTATTTTACTGTTTGGTTAACCAGCAATCCGCTAAGTGACTGCACGGTTAGTGTTTTCAGACCAAATGAAATCAGTGTGTCATAGCTATGTGAAAGATGTGCTGAGTCATTAGCGGTACTGAAAAGCCAAATAAATAATCAAAGTGAGAATCAGAGGGGAGAGAAAGTTTACCTAGCCATTTCAAGCAAAAACATGTAAACCATGTTTGTGAAGGTCTGAGTTTATCTACAGCAGAGCTCCAGACTGACTGACACCCCACTGCTCCCACTACAACCCTCCTTCCTCTGAAACAGTTTGCTCCATCTGTTGGTCTGAGAATAAGTAGCACTATACACAACAGAATGAGGTATAAACAATATTTATTGAACAGACTTATTTTCTGTAGACCCTTAAGGTAAGTGAATATTAACATATATAAGAAATTGTAGAAAATATGTGGCTCTGCTGCCTGGTAATTAGTCCAGTCAAATCATTCATTCATTCATAACAAATATTACATTGAAGACCTTCAATTTTTGCCAATAGATCCTCCTAAATGTTACACACTGGATATTTTAAAAGGCTTAGTCTATTTGATTTAACCTTTTTATTGTTATCCAGGGAAAAGGCTAAATTGTCTGATTTTTGTATAGAATCTGGTAAATATGTGTAAAAATATCATTATTGGCTTTAACAAAATGTATAAGTATTGGCTATCAGAACCTATATTAGTCAGATGCAGTATACTGTACAGTATTAGAGCTCCTGAACTGGTGTCCTGTTGCTCGACTAAATAAGGCAACATTTCAGAGAGAGAGAGAAAGAGAGGCGCGTGGCAAATTGGCAGGGAAGCTTCACACATTCTCATCGATCAAAGTGTGTGCGCGCGGGTTTCACAGCAGATGGTGACAGTGCATGAATCCGTGCGTGCGCGTATGACGTCCATATGACATCACGCAGACCCCCTTCTTTGCCAAGCACACACTGGGGCACACTCTTACCTATGCACTTGTATTTATAGCGTTTCTGCTGTGTGCGTGCGTTGGTTAGTGGTACACATTGGTATGCCAACGCACTCTGGATTGTGTCAGTGACTCCTTGTATATGCACTATGTCAGAGTGTGTGTGATATCTCACAGTAAGGCAGGTGGAAGTCTTTGTGTGTGTTTCCGTTCATTGAGGCGTAAAGGTGCAATCTGGATGTCTGACTGAGAAGACCTGCCTCATCACCTCCACACACACACTATTAACACTGTGATGCACACCTCATCTCACATAGCAAACAGCATTATTTTCATGTCTATTTCTGTTGTCTGGCTCTTTCACTCAGCTCTGTTTAAGAACCAAACCCCTGAAAAAAGACTCACTTCACTTTGCATTTGTCTGGGGATTTAGGACTGTTGTAAAATGACTGGCCAATGACTGGTGAAAGTAACACCCTGCTGGGATGGGAATCATTTCTCTGGAGGCAGCACAATAACTCAGTCTGTGGTATTACAAAGTTTGAGTTATTCATCAGGGTACATTCTTCCCTTGAAAATAGTATTAATATCAGTCCCAGTGATACACACTATAGGACAAATAAATGTCTTATATGTCTAGCTCGGTTATTATGCTGAGAGGCGAAAAAGAAATGCTACTGCCTTTTCTAAACAAGTGGGAAAGCAGTGGCATTGGGGAATATGTGTACAAATGGTTGACAATTAAGGAAAAACAGTATGTGAGTAAGGTGTAAAACAGCCCCAGTGCTCCTTGTCAGTGGTTCTTCAAGTGTGCTGAGCTCTACTGGAGGAATGAACCGTGTTCCTCCAAAAGATATTATCTCATTTGATGATGGTGGTGAAGAATGCTGTCTAACATGTTGCTCCAAAATCTCCAATTGGTGCTCAACCATCAACAGGACCTTTTTAAAATGCCCAGTAGACCCTCCTCTAAGATTACTAGGACTCTTGAAGAACCCATCGAACCTCGTCAGTGGCCCTGTAACCTCTTAAAAGAACCACTTAAACCTTAAAAAGACCCTCTTTAATGACCAATAGAATCTCCTAAAGAACTTCTTGAAAATTTTGAATGGCTACTAAAACCTCCTAAAGAACTTTAGGACCTTCTCGTCGACCTCTAGAACCTTCTCGTCGACCTCTAGAACCTCCTAAATGACCCATAAACTCCTAAATGACCACTAGACTTCCTAAGGGGACGCTGGAACCTTCTCAGTGACCACTAGAACCATTACTGACCACCACAACCTCTTAAAGACCCTGAGAACCTCTTCAATGGCCATTCCAACTTCCTAAACCACCATTTTCCTTGAACCAACTCCTAATAATTACATAACAATGGTGCATGTAAACAAGCATTCTTTTTCTTTTGCCAGATTATTGAAATTCAGTTAACATTTGCTATACATTTGGATGGAAACACTTGTATGTCTAACTGGTCTATTAAAAAAGTGGAACCAAGGATTGTAAGACTGGCCATACCCTATTGTAGATGTATTTGCTGCATGGTATTGCCGAGAGCTGAGCCATGAAGCATTTTAATTTTGTAGTACAGCACAATGCCCTGTTCTTGGCTTTCACAAAGGTTTTGGGTTGGGCTTTTGTTACAGTCACTTGGCCTTGTATGTTTTGGGGCGTGTTTGCCTGGTACTGACGAGTGTGTCATGGTGTCACATTCAGCCATGATGATTGCAGACCTTTGTCAAAATAAAAATTGTGTGGCCTCAGTAACTGATGAAAGATTTTGGCAAGTGGTAAACCCAACATCAACCTGCCCCGTACCGTTGGCTGTAACCGTAGTGGCTTGCAGGATCTGCACAGGCCAAGTATCTCAGAAAGTCTCGACTTGAGCACTAACTGTAGGTGAAATTAGGTGGAAAAAAAACATTGCAAATGAGTTCCAAACCGAAAAGGACTTTGAGTTATCAGACTGTTCACCAATAAATACTTAATTGTCCAGTTAATATTATCATTTAAATCATCTAAATGTTTAAACTACATAATCAAGTTGATCTAATTTTGTGCTTTCTCACTTTTTCTCCCCAGAACCAAACTTCACGCTGAACCTCGAAACTGTCCTAAATCCCAAGATGACCGCTCAACCCACAGAGCTGGCATGTCATGTGACCAACATTACCCATTTACCCCTGGGAGGCCGACTGGGTGTCACCTGGGAGCACACCACAATTCCTGGTACTTCTACCTCAGCCTTTGTTTTTTCACAAAATTGTATTAAATATTAGAAATTACTAAGAAACCTCTTACGGACTTACTCATGATTTTCAATCTGTCCAATCACCTGCAGGTATAGGGGACGATCCTCAGGCCTCAAATCTCATTGGCTCCCTTGACGGCAATGGCAACCTGTTGCCTGGCACGATGTATTCTGACAGGCTGAAGAGCAGCGTGTTGTCCCTGACCAGAGTCCAGCCCAACACATTCAAACTGCGATTCCTCCGCACAGAGGTAGCAAAACAGAGAGCTGTGAACATAGCGACTGATGGAAACGGTGTTTGATAGACAGAGGGAAGATATCCCCGGATAGTTGGCGACAGTTTAGCTTAAGCAGAACATGTTAGCCACAGCAACATTATAAGGTTATATTATATGAATGTTGTATTTTAAACTAATTCTGCTGCCTCTAAGCAGCCTGTGTGTGTGTGTGT